CTTCCCATTTGAGGGGACGACAACTATGTCATGACTGTCGCCTGCCACCATGTTGTCCGTCATTTATTATGATGCATGCAGTCAATAAACCACAAGGAAACCTTTCTCTGCTGTTCTCGGCTTTCAGCCTACATTTATCTGAAGTTAGCAATGACCTCTTTCAAATCCACGGCCTCCTCTGAACCCAGGTTGAATATCTGGCAATTCCCTATCAATGTACCAAATCCAGTCATTTCAGACTAATCTCCAGCAAATCTTTACTTGAGTGTGATGTTGATAATTTTCAAATTCTGTCAGATTCCCTTCTGTTGGAATGGGAGCAGATCTGGAATCTTGCAGTGGGTTGCGGCTGGCCTGTGGGTGTCTAAACCCCCAAGATGATGCCTTCTGGCCCCTGCCAGTTCCTGGGAGCTCCAGTCGTTCCTTGAATAGCTCCGTCACATGGTGTCCTCCTCCCTCGGTAGGGCAGCTGGTGCCCTCAGTGCTGACTCCCAGTGGCCCACGTACACTGCCCTGTCCTGCGCCATCCTAAGCCCCTGCTGTTGATGCCCATTGTCTCGGCCTCTGTCAGCCCAGCACGCTGAGAGTTTACCTCTCCTCTACTGACTCTGCTTTTCCCAACACACGGACTGGCCTCTGGAGACACTATCCTTAAGGCCTCTTTGCCTTCATGAGCGCTGGCCTGCACTTCTAAGACAGATTTGCTTGTTCTTTGTGTCTTTGTGGTGGTTAAGTGCTCTGCTGCTAACTGAAACCCCCCAGCGACTGCCCAGGACAGAGGCTCTTGGAAAGGTGGTGTTGCCGTCAGTTATCGTTGGGTCGGTTCTGACTCCAGGACTTTTACAAACAACAGGCCGAAGCTCTGCCTGGTCCTGCCCCATCCTCACAGGGATGCTGTCTCGAGCTCGTGGCAGTCACTGAGCCGATTCTTTGTCTTGGATTAATTTTGCCGTGTTAATCCAGCATCTTCTTTTTCATCAGCCCTCTACTTTTCCAAATCTTGTGTCATCCTATGTGGGATAATTTGGTTCTGTCACATGGGGCCCATAGGAGTCAAAGAGCAACTAGATGGCACTCAACATAGACACAAACTAGGTCAAGATCTACTCTCTCTTCTATGTATTATCTCAAGATCTGTGGCCTCACATTCATTTACATGATCTATCAAAACTGACTTCCAGACAATGTCAAGTTCATTATTTGTACAGTACAGGGGTGAAGTGAAAATTAAATCCATCACAAGGTCCAGAAAAGTGAATCCTGGTTCTTAATCTCTTTTCCAGAACTCAGCTTCCTTAGCTTCTGCCAGCCTTGCCCCATGGGTCACCTCCGGTTCCTGTGCCTGTGGGCATGCTGGGGTGGGTGTTAGAGTCTTGTGGTCGCCATGCAGCCTGGGTCACAGCCAGCTCTGCACATGGATGCCCATGGGGTACCGCTGAGACCTGTCCCCTGACAGTGGTTGGTATTGCCACTGCCAGCCACCAGAATCTCAGACGTGAAAGGGGGGGGCTCCGCTCGAGGCCTTCACACACACGGACGGTTCTGTTAAAAGAGCTGCCATCTGCACTAGACTTTCAGGACCCTTTCCATCCCTCTTCCCCCTTCAGAGTCTCTCCTGTCCTCTGAGCCCCTCCTGTCCCTGCCTTGGCTTGCTCAGAGGACTCGGGCACAGACATAGTAGTAAAGTAGAAGGTAGGAACCCATGACGTCAGGCTTGGATCTACTGTGCATGTCGCCACCTACAGCTGCCCACCTGGGAGATGGACCTGGCAGCACATTGTTAAAAGTACTAGTAATGAGTAAGAACAATAAACCAAAGCAAACCTGCTGAGTTGTGACCCCGCAGGACAGAGTGGAACTGCCTGTGGCTTTCAAGGCTGTCTCCTCTCTCTCCCTTGGAGAGGCTGGTGGACTTGAGCTACTCATTTTGACTAGCAGCCAAGAGTTTTAACCCCTGCATCACCAGGGCCCCTCACGAACACTAGTAATAACAAAAATGATGTTGACTGTGGATCAGTACATGCTGGGTGTTTACATGCATCATTTTTTTATCATTGTATAGGGTGATTGTTCCGACCCACACAGAGTGCTTACGCAGACACTGGCCCTCTCTCCACTCTATACCGGGCTGGTTGAGTGACATTGATTGTATCTTGCACTGCTACTGTCCCCATGGACCATTTGCCACCTTGTAGCCCCTGAAGCCCGCAGCCCCCATATACCTATGTCCTTCCAGAGGAGTACCTTGGAGCCTTAAGTATTAAGTTCAGACAAGCAGATGTGGTGACAGGGGCATGAGCCGGCATCAGGTGGCGCAGAGGGAAGAAGCGGCCTCCTCTTCTAGATGTCCAGACATGTCTGTTCCTGCAGTGGCTCCTGGTCTGGGTGGGGGGGAAGAGGGAGGGACTGCGTAGACGCCTCTTTGTTTCCAGGTTTCCCCTGAACAATGCCTTAGCTGTTTGCTTTATAACAGGCCGCCTCCCCGCTTTGTAACAGGTCTGCTCGTGTGGCCCTCATTTGATGATGCAAGTCATTTACTAAGTTCTAGTTATTACCGCCCTTGCTCTGTCCACACCTACTGAAACGTGGGTTGGTTTCAGCACAGTGCCTTCTTCCCATCTAGAAGTCTCCCAAGGTTTTATGCAATTATGTAGAGAGGCCACAGTGTCTCAGAATTTTCTCTTGAAAATGCCAAATTTTAATCTCAAATACAGTTGGGAGGGCACATATCTGGTCTCACAGGCATGGCGAGGAGGAAGAGAGAAGGCGCATGATCCCTGGAGGAGGCTGGCCTAGCTTCGATGTCCAGACAGGCCGGGATTGCTGCTTCAGTGTGCGTCCCACCACTCTGATCAACCATGGCCAAGAGTCCATTCCAACTCACTGGGTTTCCAAGGCTGTAAATCTTTATGGGAGAAGACTGCTTATCTTCCTCACACCGAGTGGCTGATGGATTTGAACCTCAGACCTTTCTGTTAGTGCCTGACAGGTAATGCACTATGCCACTCTTCAATATGGATTGCATCTCAACATGAAGAAGACAAATTGTTCACCACTAGACTGATAAGCAACAAAATGATGGATGGAGAAAAGATTGAAATTGTCAGTGACTTCATCTTCCTTGTATCTACAATCCCAGTACCACCCTTGGTACCAGCAGGTAAGGAGACATATTGCAGTGGGCAAGTCCATACAGAAAGGCTTCAGGTCTTTTGTTCATAGGGTCACTATGAGTTGTGTTCTACTCAACGGCAATCAGCAACAACATACAAAACACTGTGGTATGAATTGAGAATTTGAGCAAAATCACAGGCTTCAGTTGTCTGACCACATGGGCCCACATACGTACCCCTTTGTTAAGTGGAGAGTAGAAGATGTGTGACACGTTACTGTGGAATGTAAGGCAGAAGAAAGAAAGTACCATGGAGACAACTCTGACTCATTTTCTCCCTGGAAACTCCAGCCCCATTTCCCGAGAGAATCCACATGATCCAGAACCTTCCACAAGAGGAGTTATTATTGCAACTGAAAAAAAAAAAAAAGTCAACACTGTCCAGGCCTCCTTCTTCATCAGAGTAAATGTTTGTGTGTATTTAAATGTGTGTTGAAATATACATTTAAATGTGATGTTTCCAATCCAGGAAGACTACTGGTGACGAAGTCTATAGCGCTGCACAGTGAACCCAAAGGCTGCACCTGCTGCCAGTTCGAATCTACCTGCTGCTCCGTGGGAGAAAGGTGGCTTATGGTCCTCCCTTGTGATTCACAGCCTCTGGAGGGCCAGCTAGGAGTCAGGTCCAACTCAGCGGCAGTGAATGAGTAAAACAGAACTAAAGACACTTAGAAACCGGCAAGAAAACCCTCAGTGATAATGGAAACTTGAAGGACCGAGTCCAGTTAACAGTACAATAAATTTCTGATGGAATTTTCGGGACGAGGCCTGGAGGTAAATGGAGAAGTACCTGAACTTGAGCAGACAGCGCTGTGGCAGCATGGTCTCGGGGAGCTGGGCTGCTAACCCACAGAGCCTGAGCCTCCAGGCGTGTGAAGAGAAGGAAGACGGACAGCGTCCTCCCCTTGAGATGGACGGGCTCCGGAGCCTGGTGGGAGATCACAGAGTCTGACGCGACTGCCCAGCAGTGAGTCTGGGCGTGAGCAGAGTGGATGTGGCTCAGGGGCGGGCAGGGTTTTATAGGAGACGGTTCGAGGCACATCATGATAAAGCGAGTATGACAGTGACGCAAGTCCCATGGAATTTCTGGTTCTGCCACGCATATGAAGATGTGTTCACATTATACTCGAGTCTATTAAAGGAACCCTGGTGGTACAGTGTGTGACATGTTAGGCTGCTAGCTGAAAGATCCATGGTTTAGATCCAGGAGTCACGGTGCTGGAGAAAGATGGGCAGTTTACTCCCTTAAACTCCCATTTTTGGCCTTGGAAACACAGTTGAGGGTTTCCATGAGTGGGAATTGAGTCAATAGCAGTGTTTCCCCCTTTTAGTAGTGTACTGTGTACACACTCTGATGGCCTAGTGGGTCAGGAATAGCACTACCAACCCAAAGGCAGGTGGTTCAAATCTGCGACCTGCTTTGCGGGAGAAAGATGGACAAGCTCCTCCTGTTCAATTCATAGCTTCCAAAAACCTTCCGGAGGGTCAGCTTTGAGTCGATGTCACTTGATTGGAACAGGTTGAGTTGAGTCTGCTCCTAGTGCCATTGCTCCATATGCAATAACGTTATGAAATGGTTTAAGCTATTGTGAGAATCACCAAAAGGTGACACAGACACACAAAGTGAGTGAGCATACAGCATTGGGGAAATGGCACTGACAGACTTGCTTGATGCAAGGCTGTCACAAAACTTAACTCTGTAAAAAGCCCACAGTATTTGGGGAGTGCTGGGAGAGGAGGTATGCCTCTGTGCTGTGTGTACATGTGTAAAAACATTAGAAGAATATCAAATGAGTCTCGGTTTCTTTTTTTGTTCCTTTCTTCCCAGAACAATGGTTCCCTGGTTTGGTGCCAAAATCACAAGCAGTGTTCGAAGGTATGTGTCCTACATCTGTCTATTTTTAAAAATGTTTTTGTTTGGAATCCATTGACTGTTTTTGATAGATGTGCAAGAAGTTGTCAAGGTGGTGTAGAGAAGTTCCCTGCACTAGGCTCAGTGTCCATCCACAGCTTCTCCTTACAGAACTGGAGAACACTCCCGGGACCAGGAAGCTTCCAGCAGTGCCATTTCTTCCTATTTGTTGTATAACCACCACCCTAACTTTTTTTAGGTACTGCCCATTTTCCCTTTTCTTGGTTTGTTTTTATTGTGATTAGGGTGAAGGTTTATGGAGCAAATCGGTTTTTCATCCCACAATCGATACACATTTTGATTTGTGACATTGTTTACAAGCCACACAATGTCACAGCCCTCTTATGCTATACTTTTAAATCATGTCTTTTGAAAGAAAAAGGATCTTTTGGTAAGATCAGAAGATTGAATGCCATGTACTTGCATTGAGTTTATTTGTAGTTGTGGTTTGAATGTAGGAAATTGTGGTAAAGGATTTGGTTCAAAATAGTTTCTGACTCCTTGTGGGGTAACAGTTAAGCAACCAGCTGCTAATTGAAAGGTTGGTCGCATCTCTCCTTGGAAGGAAATGAGCTGGTGATTAGCTCCCAAAAAGGTTATTGTTGTTGTTGAAAATCTGATGGAGGCCTACACTCTGTCCTACAGGGTGGTGTGACTCTCAGTTGTGGACAGGATACCAGCAGCAATGTCTTAGTTAACTTTTGATTATTGGTATTCCTCGCTGTAATCTAAGCTTTGCCATTTTGTCCATTTATATATGTGATATCACCTTGGCTTTTACTTGGGGAATAGATTTCATATTCAGATTACATACATTTTCCAAAGCTCATAAAATACTGAAACAACTTTTGGTATCTTAATGGTGTTTAAAGACGTGTATTTCATGGGTATTGCTAATAGGTTAAAAGTATAATACCCCTGCATTTTATAACCCAAATTTCGTCTGGGGAATTCATAATAGTATTACAATTGGGCATCTTTACAAAAAGCATCATTATTTTGAGAGGTCTTTAAAGCACATTATCTCAAAATAAATGGCTGCAGAATAATATTCCCAAGCAGAAACCCTATTAGATGGATGCGGCCCTGAAATCCTGCCTGGATTACACTGTCTAATACCCAGGGATGTGATTAAACCGAGAGGCGAATTCTTGTGTGAAGGTGAAGTCATTTGGTGCAGACAAGCTGGACTTCCCCGTGGGGCTGGGGTGGAAATGCAGTGTCCTCGGCTTTGTGTGATCCCATGAATATGGTTGCTGCTAAGACACTTGCTGTTAGCCTTGAGATGAACTGCTTCCTGGCTGGAGCTCTGGGTGAATTCTTTACTAAATCATGGCAGGCACAGCTCTCTGATTATGTTTTAAAAAGCAATGCTAGGAGGCCAACTGAATTATTAAGAAGCGCTTTGGAGCAGTGGTGGGTCAATTGGGCAGTACAGAGGTACAGTATAGACAATATAGGGTGCGATGTTCATCAGTGCAGTGGTTAAGTGCTGGACTACCAGCCAACAGGTTGATGGCTCGAGCCCACTCACATGGAGGTACCGTAGAAGAAAGGGCTGGCAATCTGTTTTCAAAGGTTGTCCCTTTGAAAAGTACAGGGCACAGATGCACTGTGCCAGACGTGAGATTTCTATGAATCAGAATCGGCTCAATGACAGCTGGTTGCAGTTGGTTTTTTCCTTCTTTTCTCCTTAAGAAATGAATTCTTTTTGTAGATGTACAAATGGTTTGAAGGAAAGAGATTCATTTGAACTCTTTTGAAAAAAATCTTAATTAAAGAAATTTCTCCCTCCAGAGATGGCAGTTCCTTAAATCATAATTTGTAATTGAATGATCAAGGCTGACTTGAGAGATGTTGAAATTCATAAGACACCTTTGCTTTTACCTGAAAGCAGAAGGGGTCCATGAATCATGGTTTGCTCCGTACACCACTTCGAATATATTAGTGAACTTACAGAGTTTCACCAGGTGTCTTTAGCCTGACCTCTGGAGAGAGATTCTTCCATACTAATCAGAGTGGGTCTCCTTCGGGTCTTCTCACTGCTGGATACACTGAGATAATTACACTTTGCATTTCCTTTGAAGTTCATGAAGCACTGAACAGTCCTGATCCTTAGATTAACAAGGTTAATGGCAAGAGATAGCAACTCCATTTCACACTGACATGTTGGATCTGCTGCTCTGCTGTGTGGTGTTACTGTGTCGGTGTGTCACTCTGCAGTGGCCCCTGTGTTGCCGTGATGCTGGAAGTCATGGTTCTGGTTTTCCAAATATCAGCAGGGCCACCCGGACTAAGACAGGCTGTGAAGGACAGACTGGCTGTCTGCTTCTGAAAATGAGCTGTTGTGAACCCCAGGGGCTCAGAGCAGAACGTTGTCGGATTCTGGAAACACAGGCAGGAGGGATTGGGTTCTGGAGTGGAAGAACAGTGAGAGGGAGAGAGGCCCTCCATGAGATGGCCCAGCACAAGAGCTGCGAACCCAGAGGATGACTCGGGCCTGGCGGTGCTTCCACTCTTCTGTACCAGAGCTCACTCTAAGTTGAGGCAGCTCGGTGATTGCGAACAACAGCAATCTGGTAATAGTTCCATTAAGGAGCCCCTAAATTTGCGTCACTACACTAGGTGGTCTTTTGTGACAATGGCAGGCCTGCTGCTTGGAAATCCATTTCAGAGGTAGAATAGCAAAAGTTTGATTGTCTTCTGGTATTCAGGAGACAGAGGGTATGAGCTTCCCAAATCTGCGTCCTCAGCTTGGAGATAGGAGATAAGAGCTGCAGACAGAGAACAGGAGGGATTGTTACGGTGTTTTCTCCTGTCCTGGCCATCTGATCACTAGTCAGAGCCCAGACTAATTGCCTGGGCTCACCAATATCAAAGAAGTCTGTGGTGCCGTCCATATGTAATGGCGAGTTTAGTCCCAGTCCTGGTCAGTGACAGCATTTCCTGAGTGATGCTCTCGCTGTCATTTGACTTTCAAAGGGGAATTATTAGAGAAAATGGGGGAAAGCAGTAAAAATGGAGTCACTAGAGGACTCTTAGCTTCCGGCCATAAAATGGGGTCCAGCCATAAATTTCTGGGGACAAATAGGAAAGGGCAAGCAAAGGGTTTCCAGAAGAGCTTAAGGGAATTTTAAGCTGCTTAGAAAGCTAACACCACTACCGCTAAATTAAGAGCAAGTTCTTTTTGCTTAAGATGTTAAAAAAAAAAGTTGATTCCACATTATAGGGAATTCTAAAGGATGGCCCTGGTCGCCTAGTGGGTAGGAAGTTGTGCTGCTGACCCAAACACAGGCGGTTCAAATGTAGGACTTACTTTTTTGGAGAAAGATGGGAAGTCTCCTCCCTTGCAGTTCATGCCTCTGAAAACTCTCTTGAGGGTCAGCTTTGAGTTGGCTCTGAGACAGTGGCAATGAATAAAAGAAAAGTTTCGTTTTCCATTCTTTTTCACCCATTGGTTGCCATCCTGCATTGAGATCCACAGCTTTTAAAACAATTTGAACAAATTTTGAGAGAAAAGAGTCAAAGTACTCTGGAGTAATGCCAAAGATGCTCTTTTCTGAAGATAAACTTTTAAGGTAAGGCCTTGGTGCTGTCCAATAGAAACACAGGCTTCCTAGTAATTTCTGAGTGCTATCCGCTAAGCCTGTTGGCTCCACTCTCAGACCTCATCGGCCCCTCCCTTGACAGTCTGCCACCATCTCTTGCCTGGGCCAGCCTAGGAGCTTCCTTATGAGCCTCGAAGCTCCCATTCTTGCCCCAAACAATCTTATCTCCAATCTGAGACCCTTTGGAAGTTTGACTCGTGCTCCTGGCCATCTTGAGCCAAGTGACAATGTTTGACTTCTCTCAATCCTCAGTCTTCACAGACCTACCCTGGCTGCATAGCCTGTCTTGTCCTCAGTATGAGTCCTTTGTTGGCTGAAGGCATTACTCTCTTTATTCATCATTAAAGCTTACTCTACCGTGTTGAGATGGCCTTTCCCCAGTGGTTTTGTGAGCATCTTTGAACAGCACTGAATCAGCTTCAGTTCCACTACTGTTCATAGAGCTTTCAGGGACCCATTGTAAGAATTAGACAACCAGACCTACTTTTGACTCTCTCTTAATCTGGAAGCTTCACTGAAACCTGTCAACCACTAATGGGTGGCCCTGCTGGCATTGAAATACAAGTGGTGGAGTTTCCTGCATCACAGCAATTCACAAGCCATCACAGTATGACAGACTGACAGACAAGTGGTGGAAACAAAAGCTGGATAAAAAAAAGCTTGGTAGTTGGAAAGTAAGACTTTGGTGACAGAAGTGAGGCTAGAAATAGCATGAAAGAATTTGTATTCCCAATGACTTAATCATTGCAAATACCTTTTTTAAAAAATTTTACTTAATTTTATTATTTTTGTGTGTTTGTACCTTCAAATCAGATCTGACTGGTACAGGAGGAGATTGCCCCTCTTTCTCCAGCAGAGCATCTGTTGGATTCAAACTGCATACTTCTGGGATTGCAGTGTAGCATCTTGCCACTAGGCCACCGGAGCTCCCTAGCAAATACCTTTTTAAGAAACACAAACAGCAACTCTCCATGTGAACCTGGCCTGATGGAATAAAATCACTGCATCTGTGGAAAGAAATGGTAGAAAAGGTCCACATCATTGGTCAGAACAAGGCTAGGGGACTAACTGTGCAACAGGCCATTTCTTGTTCACGTGCAAGTTTAAATTGTTGCTGAAGAAACTTGAAAAATGGTCATAAGAGTAAAAATATGACCTTGGGTTTATCCCACCTGAATTTATAAACCATCGTAAGAACGTTGAATGTGCTGAACAGTAACCTCCAGGAACCTGGCAACTTGTGGGATGACATCACACATGAAGAACGCAGAGGTCATTGAGAAGATGTGAAAGGAAGAAAAGGCTAAAATAGATGTCTGAGGAGGTCCTGAAACTTGCTCTGGAATGTAGAGCCAA